CTGGCCCCGCTCCTGGCCCGGCTGCTGTCGCCCGGCTCGGTGCTGCTCCTAAGCGCCCGCAGTGACGACGCGCTGCGACAGCTGGAGGCCGAGCTGAGCGCCGGGCGGCCTGGGCTGCGCGTGCTGCGGGTGCCCGCCGACCTGGGCTCGGACGCCGGCTTGCGGCAGCTGCTCGGGGCCCTACGCGAGCTGCCCAGGCCCGAGGGCCTGCAGAGACTGCTGCTCATCAACAACGCGGGTGAGACTCCGCGGGCTATGGCGGACCTCCATTGGGAAGCCCGCGCTTCCCTCGTCGCTGGGGACAGCCCTGGCGACGCCGAGGGACTCCGACTAGACGGCTGAAAGCCCAAACCCCTAGATGTTTGGTTGGAGCGGCAGGCGGAGGCGAGGGTTACGCTAGAAACGCGCAGTGCTATCGGGAGACCCCACCGCCAGGCGGCACGGTTCCCCCAACCGGGTCTTCTAAAGCGTCTGTAGAACTTTCCCGACCGCCTCGCGCAGCGCCCTCTGGTGGAGGCGTGAGTCAGGGCTAGGAGTTCCCAGACAAGTTCCCTTGCTTCTCCAAAGGGTCTCTAGAGCCCCCCACACTATTCCGGTAGCAGGGCGTGGGAACGCAGCTTGAGGGGCTGGCCTCCTCAGGCATGTCTGTCTGCAGTTAGGGAAGAGGGAAGTGTCCTGGGAGATGCTAGGCAGATGCTGTCTCTAGATCAGCCTGGGTATCTGGAGGAACTGGGGGAGGGCTGAAGGAGAAACCCCCCTCTTGCCCGGAGTTATTTCTTCGGTCTGGTTTTTCAGGCACTCTTGGAGATGTTTCCAAAGGCTTCCTGAACCTGAGTGACCCCGATGAAGTGAACAACTACTGGGCTCTGAACTTGACCTCCACGCTCTGCCTGACCTCTGGTGTTTTGAAGGCCTTCTCCGACAGTCCTGGCCTCAGCAGAACAGTAGTTAACATCTCATCCGTCTGTGCCCTGCGGCCCTTCAAGGGCTGGGCATTGTACTGTGCAGGGAAGGCTGCCCGTGACATGATGTTCCAAGTCCTGGCCAAAGAGGAGCCTAGCGTGAGGGTACTGAGCTATGCCCCAGGTAGGTGAAAAGTACTTCTCTCTGTCCTGGAAAACTGGCCGGTTCCTTGCTGGGGACTGGACGAGGGGCCAAGTCCATCTCTGAGAAAGGATTCACAGAGTATACTGTCACTAAATCATGACCCCCTTGCTCCTCAGTAAGTGTACATTCCAAGGAAGTTAAGGCGGGCCAGGGCAGAGGGTGCAGAAACGGAATAGCAAATTGCCTGGACTAGAGGGTGGAACAGGAAAATCTGAGATATTAGATGGCATTTGGGTGAAGACTACGGTTTGAGTTCTAGGCCTGAGCTCCATATCCTCATGTGAAATGGAGAAGGTGCTGTCTTACAGGGCATTTGGGGGGACTTTTGAAAGAGGCAGTACATGTGAACATGATCCTTAATAGTGAAAGAACTAAGGGTTAGCCCTTTGACTGATACAGGAGTTGTCACACTGTATTCCCTTCCTATATGTGCCTATCAGCTTCCTTCCCTTGCAAAGTTGTGCCAAGGCACTCATGGTGATTGTTAGTTGAATGAAGAGCAGACAGACATTGCAGAGATGTGATCATCTCAGGCTGAACTGAGCTGGAACACAGCAGGTGGGTACTGAGGGTTATTGGCACATATAAGAGAAGGACTCTGTTCTCATGAAAGTTAAAGAGTATGGGATCTTATGATACCTGATCTGGTTTCTGACCACCTGCCAAGATGCCATTGTGCCAGCCTTTTATTCTAGGCTTGTGGTTTCTGCAGTTAGCAGGTAGTGACAGAACTAGGGTAGAATGTCTAAATTACTTAGGTGGAGATCTGCTAGTCTACTCCCCTTTGTACTCCTGGGGGTAGAGAGGTAGCATGGCCTGCCCAAAGCCCAGGTGTGGCAGGACCAGGATCCTGCCTTGCTTCCAAGTTCCTGATCAGTGTGTCTTCATCAGGTGTGTCCACTTCCTCATGTTCTCCGGCGCCCCTTAGCATAGAATAACACACACAGTTATTCTTGCACCAGCATCCAACTTATCACTCCTTCAAAGCTTCACCTAGGACTCAGACAGCAGTAACCAAATGTAAACTGTAGCCAGAGCAGAACAGATTCTAGATTTCCATGTGGCTGAGTTAGCTCTCGGGAAGCTGCCCTTGGCATTGTGAGGGAGCTGAGATTCTTTGGAGTTCCCCAGAGCCTTAACAAAGCCACAGACGACTCTGGCTATTTCAGTGGGTGGGTAGAATGCCTGCCTGGCATGTGCAAGGCCCCGGATTCAATCCCTAACACTACGAGAAAAAGAAAGTTGGGATTTTCAAGAACGTGTTCAGAAAGTTTGAAAGGATCCTCATCAAGGACGCACAATTGATTGGAAGTTAAGTGTCAGGATGATTCTTTTTCCAGCTCTGAGATTCTGTGATTTTTTTTTTCTGCCCCTGAAAACCATTAACTCCTAATTGTGGGGTACTGTGATTCTGATATGAAGAATTGAAAGCGCTTATAAGAGTTCAGGAGGGAAGTTATTCCCTTCAGGTGGTGAGATCAGGGATGGCTTTACTGGAAGTAGCCGATCTGTACATTGACCCTGTGGACTGTTTGGATGTTAGCAGCTGGAAGATACTTCCCAGAAATGCAGGTAAAGGTAGGAAAGCTTGTGGGGTGGTGCAACAGCTCTGCTAGTCTGGTTCCGGGCTGCATATGCTCATAGAGCAGGCCTGGAGTACATACCAGGCTACTGCGAAACCTGTAAGTAGTTTTGAGCAGGGGAGTGGTGTGATCTTTTAGCAGAATGAATTTAGCAGAAGGCTAGGTGAGGAGCTGAAGCAGGGGAAGACCCAGGGTTGTCAAAAGGGCCAGGTTGTTCAGGCATGTAGACACAAAGGTCCTGACAGCTGCCTGCTGCCTAGTGCCTGGTTGGCTGGAGGGGAGGGAGTGGAGGAGAATGGAAGTTTTGAGTACTTTGTTAATAGACGTTGGAAAGTCAAGAGGAAGTGCTGCTTGGACACTTCAGATCATGAGTTTTTGTTTTAGACACAGTGGCTTAGGAGGAAACATGTTCAGTGACCTTTGGAGTTTGAGTCTGAAACTCAGTATTGACAAAGTGGTGCCTTTGGCTACCCTGACTGTGCATTTCAACCAGAATGAAGTGTTGCTCATGGGCAGACCTTACTCAGTCCACCCCCTATGCACAGTGGAGAGCCATGACTTTCTGTCCTTGTTGTCTGTTTTTCATCCCGTAGGGCCCCTGGACACAGACATGCAACAGTTGGCCCGGGAAACCTCTGTAGACCCAGATTTGCGGAAGAGCCTGCAGGAGCTGAAGGCGAAGGGGCAGCTGGTGGACTGCAGATTGTCAGCCCAGAAACTGCTGAGCTTGCTGCAAACAGACACGTTCGAGTCTGGAGCTCATGTGGACTTCTACGATCAATAAGCCCATGTCCTTGGCTTCCTGGGCCCCCCTGGCCTCACATTCTGCCATAGCAGCCCCGCAACCCTGCCTAATACAAATAAGCACTCATGCCTACCGCCCTGCCTTTGTGTACAGCCAGCTCGGAATGACTGGCATTACCAGCCCTCCAGAGTCTGGGTTGTGTAGCCTGGGTGATGAAGCTGCTGTAGGAGGCTGGGAGAGAGGTTATGGGTGTTGGTGTTCTCTCTCCCTAATAGAATTTTAAGGATGCAAACAGCAGCTGAAAGACTGTAGAGAAAAGTTTGGGTCTCTTGTGTATGGCCAGTCCATGGGGGTGAGCGGGGAGAGATTGGGTGTGAAAAAGGAGGATCCATGTAGATTCACAGGTGACCTGGAGGGGTGGGGGGACACATAGCAAGTTCCAAACCACATGGATGCCACTTGCTCAGGGTAGTGACACCTTCTGTTGATCTTTGTGTCCTCATTCGGGTCTTCTTCCCCCAGAACCTTCCATCCCTCTCGCTGCTGGGCATGGCAAAGCCAGTTACAAATACATTGTGCATTAACTCCTGCTTCCTCCTTTTCTAGGAGGCCTGTGAGGTTCCCTATGCCTGAGGCTGCTCCTGAGGCCATAACCCAAACTTAGGGTGTTGCCCTTACTTCCTGAGGAGTTCTTTCAGGCTCTTGCCTTCCTGTCACCAAGACCCACTCAGTGGCAAGCCTGGGTCCAAAGAAAGTTGTCCTACATGGAGATGCTGAGACACCTATTCCTCCTTCATGCTGTTACCCACACTGACCCAAGTCTTTACTATTCTTTCCTCACTTCAGGGCTCAACACAGCCTGCTCTCCGTCTGGCCCTCACAGGTGGGGCCTTTCCCAGGCATCCCTTTGGATTCTTAATTCTGCCCCTTGCCCACGTGAAAGTGCTCCTCCTGGATCTCGGCTCCCATCCTGGCATTGTCTGTCTGGTCCATGATCCTGCTTCTCAGTGGAGTGGGTTAGGACCAACATATTTTCAGGGGAGATGGACAGGATTCCAAGAAGAAGAAAGCCACTCCTGCCAGCAGGCAGATGTGAGCTGGGCTGGGAGCCTTCCACAGCAATGGTCTGCAGCCAGCCACTTGGCCCCTGGCCCATATTTGGGAAGAGAGAGCACAGTTCCCTGCCAGCAGATGCCAGGACTCTGATAGCATCTGATTGTGTAGATAGAAGTGCCCTGATCCTCCCTTGCCCAGCAGAGGGCACACTGAGGCTGTGCCTCCTGGAGAAGTAGCAGCTACTCTTGCTGGAAGGCTGGAACTGGCAGTGCCCTGCGGGGTCCCTAAGGAATAAAACCTGCAGACCAGAGCCACCCCCTTTCTGAAGTAAATAGCACTGGGTTTAGATCCTTCCCCGCCACTTACTAGCTGGCAGCCTAGGCCAAGTTGTTTCTCTGTGCCTCAGTGTCCTCTGAAAACTGGAGATTAAAATACGCCTATGTCATGAATATTTAGTGTCATAATCTTTGTAAGTGTTCAGCATAGTGCCAGCCTAGCCGTAAGTGCCCCGTAAATGATAAAACATTTCTTGCCTTTTAATGTCAAGATCCTGATGGTCCTGAAGCCCCACGGACAGCTTCCGGTTCTCTCAGTGCCCACATATCCTGCCTCTGCCAACCTGCAGCAAGAATTCCCACTACAGGGGGAGCAGGCCTAGTTAGGGGCTAGGTTCCGCCTGGACAGCTTGTCTGGGACTGTCAAAGAGAATTCATGAGCTTTAGGAGCCTTCAGTGTGAGTCCCTGCCTCCCACTCTGGACTGCAGTTTCCTTAGGGCAAATGAACTACAGGTTTCTTCCTGCAGACCTGCCTCGAAGGTGTGTCAAGCATAGTCAGGTTGTATCATGGAATTCGGCGTGCCCTTTGTAATGGGGATGGGCCATCCTGAGCTGCCCCTTCTGCCTCGGTGGGCGAATTTCCTTTCGTGTGGGAGTGTGAAAGTAGCCAGCCTAGCCCAGGCCCTGGTGGGCGTCCACCAGGGGTGACGCCCTCGCCCCTCCCCAGGTTGGCTGACCAGGGAAGCAGGGAGGAGTACCACATGTTCCCACGAGGTGGCGAGGTGCTCTCATGCCTGACATTTTCTTCTCAGAGCACAGTGGTTTAAAAGCCTTGGATCCCAGCTGTCTCCCTAGGCTTATCTTATAGTCTAGGATTCTAGACTACCAGAGGTCTAGGGAGGTCAGAAAGGGACAAGGTCACTCTCCCTGGCAGGCTTTAAGACCTGCTCAGTGACCCATGGTCTCTGCCCACAGGGATTTCCCAGCCCTCCAGCCCAGCCCCATCTTCATGGGAGGCTTTTGTGCCAGCCTCCAGGGGCCAACCATCTGTGTTCCCAGAGTGCATGCCCTGGCCTGGGCCACCACACACAAGCACATGTGAGCACACGCATAAGTACATGCCTACACATAACCAGAGCCCAGCTGCCCGGGTGAGCAGGGCCACAGATTAGACAAAAGACAAACAGAGTTCCTCTTTGTCTTTGGTGTGAAAGAGCTGGGTAGTTTTTGGTTTGGAGTTTAATATCCCAGAGCTGGGAGCCAGCAGCTGGCCTGTGAGGAGCAGGAGGATGAGAAAAATATTCCAGGGCCACCCCAGGGAGCTCCGGCACCTCTGTCCATGGGCCTAGCCAGCTGGGATGAGGCTTGTCAGGAGCTTCCCCCACCCATCAATGCCTGTCCCATGAATACACATGCACACTCTACACCCAGGCTGGTGCTGAGGCCATTGTTAGCCAAACCTGGTGGGGCCAGCTGCTCCTACATCCCCACTTGGGATCATTCTCCTAGGACGTGCTGCATCCTGGCATCTCCCATGTCTTGCCCAGGGACCTGCCTGGGATAGCGCCTCCTGGCCTCCTTCACCCACATTCTTCCCCATAGAATGTGGACTCTTATGCCCACATGTGTCTGCAGTCACTCTGAATCACATAGCCAATGTGCATGCCCTTCTGTGAACACACCCAAGAAGGCCCAGCTGTGCTCCCTCATCCAAGGGATCCCATGTGGTGATAGGAGGGGATCAAAGAGCACTTCCAGCTGTTCAAGTGGAGACCTTGGGGGTGATACCACCAGGCACTTTTATTGTCTAGAGTATAGGGGAGGAGAGGAGTGGACTAGAAGCCATTAGCTGGCATGCTGGGAAATTAGCTGGGGAGCCATTTGGAGCCTGTGGGATCAGCTTGGAGGGGTTAAATGATGAGGGTGCTGAGGAAAGAAGGGAGCAAGCCACCCCGAGAGCTTCCACCCGCCATGCTGGAGGCAGGAATTGATGTGCGTCTCTCCAACTTCTCCATGTCTCCATGTCCCCTCTCCTACCAGGGTTGTTACTGTCCGGTACGGCTCTCCTCCCTTACCCCCTTGTCTCTTTTTTCCCCCATTAGGAAACTGCATCCTTAGGCCTACCTGCACTGAGTTTGGAGAGCCTGGGCTTCTATTTTTATTTTTATTTTTTCCAGTACTGGGAATAGAACCCAGGGCCTCTGCACTGAACTACATTTCCAACCCTTTTATTTTTTACTTTTTATTTTAAGTCAGGGTGTTGGTAAGTTGCTAAGTTGTCCAGGTGGAGGAAGGGAGAACAGGAAGGAGAAGGAAATTCCTTCTTTCTTTGGAGCACCCACCTTGGGGGCCCTCCCTACAGCTGACCCAAGCCCAGAGGGATTGATGCCTTAGCTAAAGAAACTGGAAGCTGTCCCGTACTCACTTTGTTCCCACACCTGCTGCCCGCCCACCCCCAGGGGCAGGGGAGAGGGCCCTGGCTCCCACTCCTTCGAAGTTCTGGGTGACCTCTTAGAGCTGCAGGAGTCTGTCTGGCCCACAGTCTCATTCGGGTCTTGGTTCAGCTGCTGCAGGGCCCTTTGCTGCTCAGGCCTGCAGGGCTTGCTGGGCTTCAGCCTTTTCCAGGGATCCAGGGCCTCGGCCTCAGAGGCTGTGCGGAGTCTATGGCCTTCAGCCAGATCCAGAACACTGGGGCTTGTTGAGTGTTTGCTAAATGGTGAATGAATGAAAATGAGAGTGAGTGACTACCGCTGTGCCCGACTGCCAGGTATGTGGTAGAGTGTGTGGAAGGGCTGGGTATGGTTACTGTAACTCTGTAGACTGCAGGAGCTGAATGGGCCCCACCCAGTATAGGTAGCCCTGTGTAGGGATCCCTAAAAGAGCCTGCATCCTCTTGAAATCCCTAGGAGAAATCCCACAGGGAGAATCACCTGAAGAGTATAAAACAATCTCGCAATGCTCCTTTTTATCCTAGAATCTAAGTCAGTCGAACTAGGAGTGTCCCCACTTGCACCGGAGTATGTGAGCCACGGGTGCCCCAGCAGTACAGTCAGAAACCAGGGGCACAGTCTCAGAGAAGACGAAGTTCATGGGAGTGTCAGGGTTAGGGACTGGGGCCAGTCCACCGTCAAGGTTAAGGATCAGTATGTGGCAGGGGCAGGGTAACAGCGAGCCAGATTTGACGTCAGCACAGAGCCACGGCCATGGTCTGTAGCAGGTGGGAATACGGAAATGGAGGCAAAAAACTGGAAGGTGGGAGAGGTCTGCTGTTAAAATGCTAATTTGCCTATAAATGATGATTGTCAGGAGAAAGCCAGACCTCAAAGACACTGGTGACCAAGGCTAAGGGACTGCTTTCCTGGCCCTAGGAGAGTCCCAGATCTGCCCCTCAGCTAACATTCTCTCTCTCCTTCCCTCCTTCTCTCTCTGTCTCTATCTCTATCTCTGTCTCTGTCTCACAGTCCAGGCAGAAGCCCCGTGCAAAGGGTATGTTGTGTAGCTGCATCATTTTCTGGAACAAAAATGGGCTTTCTCCCTAGTCGTCCCCGTGGTCTGCCTGGCCAAGACAGGCAAGCAACCAAGGGTGAAGTGGAGACTGAGAGGAGGCAAGGCCTTTCTCTTCTCTGGAGCAGTCAGAGTAGAACAAAAACAGACCCAGTACAAGCCAAAGACTGAGACAGAGTGAGCAGGACTATAAGAGAGAAGACAGAGAAAGGGCCAGAAACAGGAAACCCAGGGAAGAAAACAGAGACGGAAAGATTCCAAGACATAGTAAGACAGATTTAGATGGAGGGAGAGTGATGGCGGAAGAAGCCACACACTCATACTCTCTCACACATACTCACATGCACTCACACACACACACAGGCGTGTGCTCATGCAGCCGCCCTGAGCCTTGCTGGAAATAATCCCGTTCACAACACCGGGGCCTCAGCTGCACAGGCAGTGCCGAGCTGTTACCTTGCACATCTGTCAGCTCCAAATGTGGAAGCTGTCACAGGGTTGTGTGTGTGAGTGTGAGAGAGAGAGAGAGAGAGAGAGAGAGTGTGTGTGTGAGTGTGTGTGTGTGTGTGTGTGTGTGTGTGTGTTTGATGCCTGTTTCTCCCAGAGAACCATGAGGCCTGAGTCGGCAGAGGGAGATCCCCAGGGGCCCACAGCACTCCAGGAAGCTCAGTCCTGGCGACATGTCTGCCCTCGCCTTGCTGCCCAGGCAGGAGGAGCATTAGGAGGCAGCCTGCTGGATTTGGCTTCTGCAATCTGGCTGAGGGGAGCTGCGGGGGCAGGAGTAGTGTCAGGCAGCCAGTTCCCATCTGACCCGGAAGTGGTGGTGAGCCCCTGGCGTGATGGGTGTTGGTCACTCCTGGGGCCATCAGGAATTCCTCTCCTGCTGATCATAGCTGGGAGGTCCTCCCTGTGTCTGACTTACTTTTGGGAATCCTTCCAGCGTCCATGTTCCTCTGGGGCACCGAGGACATTGCCTTCTGCTGGCCTGTCTTTCTAGCTGCTTTCCTTGCTGTACCTCAGCGTGCACCTTGACACTAACTCTGGGCTACAGAAGGTCTGAGAACTCAGACTCCACGCTCCAGGAAGAGAGAGGAATGGCCCGAAACTATTAGCCCCATTACTCACTCCCTCCTTCCTTTCTTCCTCTCTCTTTCTCTCCCATCCTTCCATCCATCCTTCTACCCATCCTTCCTTTTTGAAACAAGCTCTTGCTATATACCCCAGTTTGGCCTCAAACTCACTCTATACCCCAGGCTTGAACTCTTGATCCTTCCCTCAGCCTTCTGAGTTCTGGGATTACAGGTGCGCTGGATTACAGGCATGCACCACCATGCCTGGCTGTGCTTAGCTCCTTCTTACAAGATTAGAATCCTGTGCCCTGCTCTCTGGTGATCCTTCCCCCAGATGCCAGGACATTCTTTTTGTGTTTCCTCCTTCCTACTTTAATCCAGGATTATGATAAAGGAGGCTTACAGCAATGTAGAAAAAGCCCCAGAACATATCCAATAGGGAGGACAACCTTTTTCTTTTAAGTAAGGGGACAGAGGAGCCCTGGCCTAAGACACCCAGCCCTCCTGTCAGCGCTCCTCCCACGATGCCATGCCCATCCAGTTTAAGCTTTCCCTGACCCCATCAAGACATGAGCACAAAGGCCCTGCCAGCTGTT